CTGTTCCGCTCAATGTTTCTGGCTTCTCAGCACTCAAACCAACACCTCTCCGTCAAGCCCCACCTTTGTCCTACATGGCCCACTCCTCCCTTCTACCATCTGCAAGAATGCTAGCAGAGACAATCCAGGATGCCAGCCACAAATGGCTTGCGAAGATAAAAAGGGGAGCAACCCTCTCCCTCCAGCAGCTCCTCCCAGAGCCTCGGCCTGCAGCTGTCCCTCCCTTCCAAAACTGGCTAAGGAAGAAAGAGAAAGAGAACATGGAGGGGGGGGGCAGAGGGGGTTTTAAGGGCTGCAGGGGATGGACTTAAGAAAGAGCAAATGGCAGGAAGCTGGAGGAAAATGTATCAGCGATAAAGACAGAGGCCAAGCTGAAAAGACATTCGCAAGAAGCTAGCTTTTGACTTGGAATAACAATCCAGAACTTTGGGTTTAAATTTCTCACACCGTATTTATAAGAGTTTTTTTAAATCTTGGCAACTGTAAGATGTGTGGACTTCAACTCCCAGAATTCCCCTTCTCAGCAAAGCTGGCTGGGGGATTCTGGGAGCTTAGGTCCACACATCTTACACTTGCCAAGGTTCAAAAAGACCGATTTATACCCTAACTTGATTATTCCAGACTATGGAGAAGAACCTCTTTTAGCAGTGAGGCTAGCACCAGCCCCATCTATCTTCTTAAAAGGAAGAGAAGCTGCCCCTGTTTGGGAAGCCCTAAGAGCAAACACTGAGGACTAGAAACACGGCACGCTGCTCCAGCCTCAGCCAAACCTGCTGGTTTCCAAGGGGCGCATCAGAGCAGCCGTGTCTGTTTCCAGACTTCAGCATTTGACGACTTCCAAAGAAGGGAGTGGGTGTCACAGAGGACAGGAGAAGGAAGCTGCCACTGCACCAGATAGCCACTCTGTAAGCCTCTGGACCCAGCCTGGGGAACTGAGATAAAAGTCACTAGGCAGCAGGATTAATGGTCCCCAAGAAAAGCCACGGGGAAGCCAGCAACGATCCTTGAAGGCTTATCCAGCTGAAAACTCTCATCCGGAGACTCTGATAACATCTCCGGACCAAACATTTGAGACCTCCACCAGCTCCACAGAAGAACAGAGTCGGAGGTTTTCTAGTCCAGGGGTCCCCAACCTCCAGTCCTTGGACCAGTACCCGGCTGTGCAAACAAGCAAAGCCCCATCCGCGGGAAGCAGGTAGCACGCAAAACCACGCCACCTCCGGTCCACGGAAATCCTCTCTCTACAGAACTGGTCCCTGGTGCCCAAAAGGTTGGGGGCCGCTGTTCTAGTCCAGTCTCCTCCTGCTCAAGCAGGAGACCCTACACCATTTCAGACAAGTGGCTGTCCAGTCTCTCCTTGAAAGCCTCCAGTGATGGAGCTGCCACAACCTCTGGAGGGAAGCCCTTCCACTGAACAATTGTTCTCACGGTTAGGAAATTTCTCCTTAGTTCTAGGTTGGATCTTTGAAGACCACGACGACCCAAAAGGAAATAAGGGGACCACAAGAGTCTTTCAGATTCACCAATCGG